CGGCGCGACACGCTGAGCACGTCCTGGTCCCCAAGCGTCAACGTCCCGAGTTTTTTTTGCCAGCTTCTCGCCAAACGGAGCGGAGCGAATCACTATCATCTCGCAGGACATGAGCAAAATTGACCGGTAATGCACACCCTGTACTATATATATAGACATACATACCCACATACCTACATACATACATACATACATACATACATACATACATACATACATGCATGCATGCATACATACAGACAGACAGACAGACATACATCCATATACACAAACACATACACCTACACATACATATACGCATGCATACATACATACATACATACATGCATGCATGCATTCATACATGCATACATACATACATACATACATACATGCATACATGCATACATGCATACATACATACAGACATGCATATCTACATTCATTTACATACATATGTACATACATATACATGCATGCACACATACATACATACATGCATGCATGCATGCATGCATACATATATACATACATACATACATACATACATACATACATACATACATACATACATACATACATACATACATACATACATACACACACACACACACACATACATACATACATACATACATACATACATACATACGTACATACATACATACATACATAGATACATACATACATGCATACATACATGTATACATACATGCATGCATGCATGCATGCATACATACATACATACATACATATATACATACATACATACATACATACGTACGTGCATACATACATACATTTGCATAACAAATCAAGGGGTGCATACCTGCAGGGTGTTGCGCGGACACAAATCGCAGGTCGGCCGACGGGCCCGCGCCGCGGGCGAGCGCCCCGCGAGCGCGGCGCGAAGCAATAATACGAAACCTGCGAAGCAGACGGCGCCAGGGCTCCGTCCCGCTAACACCCCGCGTGGGGGGCGCCGGCGGTGACGCGCGCTGTCCCCGACCAGGCCAGCCTGGGCGTTGAACCCAACGCTGCCAGCGCCCAGGCCCGCCATGGCCGAGGCGCGCCAGGCCTGCCGCGGCCCCCGTGGAGCCACGGGTGCAGGACGCAGTGCGCGCCGAGCGTGCGCCTGTTCGACTAACCCCGCAGGCACCGTTGCAGACCCTGGTCTGCGCCCTGCGCTGGGGCTAGGGCATGAAGCGGCGGCCACCGCTTCGGCGGTCGCGTCGCCCTCGTGCTGGCGCATATCAAGATATTATTTGAAAGCGCGGGAACTCTAATCGGCACCGCGGAGAATTTCACAGAGGCAGCCGTTGCACCTGCGCTTCGTCTCTGCGCGTCCGCGGCGGAACGCTTTGCTCGTAAAGGATGCCGCGCTTGGCGCCCCGGCGTGCAACGCCGCCGCCTTCATCGCGCGCTGCACAGGCGCGACGATTGAGACGGCCGCGTTGCTGTCGACACGCCGCAGATGCGGGAACGCGGGCGAGCCGACACAAATGCTCTCGAAAAATGCCTGCGCCGCGTGCACAATGCACGTCGCTTGCGAGTGTGCGCACCAGCACTTCCGCACCGCGACTGTCGGGCCGTCCCGGTGCTTACGCCGTGAGAAATGCAGCGTCGCCGAATCGCCCGAAAAGAAAATAAGGACCCTTGCCCTAGGCCTGCGCAGGTCCAGGTCTGAGAAGGCGAAATCCTTAAACGCCAATGGGTCGCCTCGCCCAATCAAGAGGGCTGCGGAGGGCGCACGCAAAGCGAACCCCCAGGACACCAAGAAAAGCGCGCGCAGGGCGCTGTCGGTGCTCACAAAGTCGAGCATCCGCGGTAAATGCGACAGCAGCACGAAATGCTTCGGCGGCCGCCTCACAGAGTGCCGCTTCCCGATGGCCTTACGGGCACCCCTGACCAATGGATGCGTGAAGACAGACGCGTCCCGGCCCAGCAGCTGGCATGCCTTCTTAAGCTGTGCCACGTAATTGCCGAAGGTGCGCGGGCTACGAAACTCGAGCGCGAACAAGCACACTTCGTCGGCCGACGGCGGCAGCGCGCTGCAGCCGTCTCCGTTGAGCCGACGCCGCGCGAAAGCCATCCACGCCCGGACCGCTGCCCTCCAGGAACCGAAAGAGCGCGGCGCCGATCCAGCGATTGCCACCGCTCGCGCGCGGGCCAAACTTGCCTGGATGGCCGCCGGCGGCGGGACCCCGCGATCGCCGCACGCGATGGAGATGCGCGGGCCGCCCACGGGCGCGGGCGACAATTGCACGGCGCGCACGGCACTGTAAGCGCTCGCAAGCTCACGCCTCGCTGCGCTGTCGCGCTCCAGGAAGGCAACTTTTCCCTCGGGCAGCCCGTTCAGCTCAAACGTCGCAGCCCTGACCCCGAGCTTCACCAGATCCTCCACACATTCAACTCCGTTGGCTTTCAACACTTCGTTCACTGGCCTCAGCCACGTCTGGTCGCGCTTGGCGTAGCTGTCGACACCGGACTCGAGGAAAGGCAGCAACGGAGTGCTGGCCATGGCTGTGGCAACTCGGACCAGACAACCGACGCGCGTAACGCTAAGCCCGAAAATGAAACCGCCTGAGCGAGACGGCTACTGACAGAAGGCGCGCGCCAGGGACGCGCGCGAGACCCGCGAGCGCGCGCGCAGACGCGAGACACAGCACGAGGAGGACGCGCGGCACACGACACCTGCCCAATTTTGTGGGCCACGAATACGTGCTGCCCGCGAGCGGGTGCACGCGCGCGCGCCTGAGACAGGGGCGCTAGCACGGGACGCCCTGTTCGGTTCGCCCAGGTTGTAGTGTGCGAGTGGCACCGTAGGGACACCCTCGCTCGGGTAGCCACACAGCACGTCGCCCTAGTACGGGTCGCCTGACTGTGGCGCATTTGTCGCGCAGCTGGGTCGCCCTCGTGCGGGTCGCCCGGATGCAAGTGCATTTGTAGAACCGTTGGGATACCCTAGTTCGGGTAACCCAACCACAGGTCGCCTAAGTGCGGGTCGCCTGTAAAGCGCAGTGGACGCGGGTGCAAGTGCATTTGTAGCACCGTTGGGGCCCCCAGCCCGGGTAGCCCAACTAGAGGACGCCCTAGTTCGGGTCGCCTGTATGTAGCGCATTGGTCGCGCTGCTGGGACGCCCTAGTACGGGTCGCCCAGGTGCAGGTGCATTTGTAGCACCGTTGGGACTCCCAAGTTCGGGTAGCCCAACTACAGGTCGCCCTTGTTCGGGTCGCCTGAATGTAGCGCATTGGTCGCGCTGCTGGGACGCCCTAGTACGGGTCGCCCAGGTGCAGGTGCGTCAGTAGCACCGTTTGGGTTACTCTGGTGCGGGGATCCCCAAGCCAAGCCTGGGCAAGGGGGAACGCTGGACAGGGCCGCCGCGCGCCTTCCGGCGACCCGTGTTGTTCGTGGGGCGCAGGCTACAGCAGCCACGGGAGGGAAAGGCGGGACGGGGAGCCAAAGTTCGGGGGGGCTAGCCTCAGAGGGGGGACGCATCGATCCCCAATCGCTCATTCATCGCCGTTGGGGGCCCGATAGCCCACCCCGCCCACGAGCATGCGAACTCGATATCTGGTGCATGTCGCCGATCTATCGGCAATGCGTCGGTGATTCCAAGTCAATGTTTACCCTCCTGAGCCGGCCCCCCCATCGGGGACACTGCGTGCTGCCCCTTCCTGGCCTGGGAAATTGGACCAAACGATGCCGTTCCGGGAGAAGGAGTACGAGGGGATGAAGAAGGAGGAGGAGGAGGAGGAGGAGGAGAGAGGAGTGAGGAGGAGGAGGAGGAGGAGGAGGAGGAGGAGGAGGAGGAGGAGGGGGAGTTTCGCTTTCCCCGTCTGCCCCTGCACGCGCATGACGTTTCACCTGCTCCAGCCCTTGACCCTCGGTATAGGCTGCGAGCCTCTTCACTTTATCGCTGGCTGCTTGACTGAGGACGGACGGAGCGGGGGAGTCGACGCAGGGGCGGATGAGGCGGAGAGGATGGAGGAGGATAGAGAGGGACAGGGAGCAGGAGGGATGATGAGGCTGAGGGCCTGGAGAATCAGCAGAATCGGGAGGAGAAGGAACTTGGAGGAATCATCAGAAAGGGGAGGGCCACGGAGGGGCACGTGCAGTGTTCGCCGCGCGCTGCTGCTACCGATACGCTGGCAATCATGGGCGCCAGGGCCACACACCCGCGAAGTGACCGCATGGTCTTCGAGGAAAGCAACTTTTCCACATGACACCACAGGCGCGTGCAGGGGTCCAGGTCGAAGGGGGACCCCAGCGGAGACCTGGTGCCGTCGACAGAAGTCACCGACGACGAGCACCTTTCTCTTCAGCGACTGGAAGGCCGAGTGCAGAGCTCCCATCAACCACCGCAACGAGGTATGAGCTCCAGTTGGGCCCGCCGTCCGACGGAAACCCAAGCTGGCCGACGATTTCAGGATCCCAGTTCCATGTACCAGCCGACCTACGAGGAGGGCATCCAAGGTCATCACATCAACACCGACATGACCCCACCGCTAGAGGCAGTTTTTATCGCACGACCACCTCGCCTTGAGCCACCACCGTGGAGGCCACCAGAATTCACCCTGGCACAAGGCATCGCGAAGACCCTGGTCGCAGACGTACACGATTCCATACGCTCAGAAGCCAAGAAGCAGCTGACTAACACGGAGACCGCCCACTACGACAACCTCGAAGACGATTACCAAACGGAGCTTGAGCTAAAAGGTTTCGCCACACGCGAGCCGACTGGCGACATCATCCCATTCGTACACAAAAGCAGCTTGCAAAGCGAGAACGACCGATACCACAGCAAGCCAACAAGGTCATCACAGTCAACCCGACCCATACGACACCCAACCAGGGCGACCCACCACAACCAAGCTGCCCACCACCACCACTCGACCCACCTGCCTACGCAACTTGGGACGCGCACGCGCTAGCACAAGCCCTTCAGCGAACGAGCTTCCCGAACGCATTGCCCATGTCATCTAACCACTGGTTACCCGTGCCACGCCCGTGGCTCGCATGCGAGTGCAGAGGCACCCAGGGCGTATGGAAAGCCCAGGCGTTGATCTCAATTGGGAGACCATGGAAAACACGTGGGACGACCCTGGCAACGTGCTACTCAGCCCAGGATGGAGGAGAGCTACATCCGCCGACAACGTCGAATGCTTTCACGGCGGCAAAAGGAACACCATGAACTGTCGACCGATTGCTACGCGCGACCGCTGGCAACCACCACCGCCACCGACAGCCCCGCAGAGGCCACGACCGTGCTCACCACAAGCTCGCTCCTACTAGATCAACATGGCCGCCCTCGAAGATATCAACACGAGGTACCAGAACGACAAAGGTCCCTGCGCCAACATCGACAACCTCAAGGAGAAAACCAAGTCTTCCACCAACGACGAGGTTGCAGAGCGAGCGAGGTCTGACAGCCCCAGCGGAACTAACGAGCTTACTTCTGAACAACCAAGCAGATCCCCTCGTTGCGCGGGAAGGGGTGCTACGGATTATTGCGGGGATCCAGGCCGCTGGGCCACAGCACGCGACAACCCGTCGACCGCGCGACCACATCTTCAAGCAGACGACATACCCACTTGCAGGGCCACCCGCGCCCAGTCACCAGGGGACATCAAGCAGCAGCGATGCGCCTGCCAGGCGCCCCCGACAGGACAAAAAGGTGGCGACGCTAATAGCCACGGCACCAGTGTCGGACGCTTGCGGGCAGGCACTAGCAGCCACGCGGCGGGCCCGATGCAAGGCCCCACCCGCCACCTGCCCACCCTATACCATCCCGCAGCAAAGCACAACCAATGGCACAACCCGAACAGTCCGACGGAGCACCAGCTGCTTTACCTAGACGCGACATCCAAACCACCGCCAGTCACCCCACCTAGGAGTAGCGGATCTTTAGTAGTCAAGCAAAGTAAATATTACACGAAGCCAACATCGCACAAGGCACCAGTAGCCACAGTCAAGGCCAACACCCAGGACAAATTGGACACGGTCTTCGAGATGGCAGAAACTTCGCTTCCACGGACAGCCGCCACCAGCCGCGGGATCTGCATCTGGCAAATGCGAGCGCCATCAGGACCTGACCGAGCGCCTAACCAACAACATCAGCATTATAGAACTTGACCGCGAATCCGTTGCTTTCAAGACCCAGACCCATAAGCTGATCTCAGACTGCTACGCGAACAGGAGCGAGGCTGGCACTACGACGTGGACGCTGGTATGGACACCAAAATTCGCTCCGAATGCGACCAGGTCATGAGCTACGTGGAGGAAGGGCTTCTGGCGCGACGAACTACGAGAAGCACGCCTATTTTACATGACCTAGCGCCAGACATTGTTCGCCCAGTCTGTTAGTGAACCACCAGCTGGCAATGATGCTGACGTACCAGATCAACGACGAACCCGACGACCCACCTGCACCACCTGTCGCGGTTGCGCAGCAGCGAAGCACATTCATGCACATCCATGTCGACGCCATTGCCATTTACACGGTTCCGGTGCTAGACTGCCACGACAGCAAATGCAAAAGATAACCGAGTTGATCAATTCCCAAGACCGCCATCCAAACGACGCCGCGACCAATCAGTCTAGCGGACAACCGCACAAAGGGCAGCCACACGCAAACCACGACCCAGAGCAGCCCACTAACGACGCAACGACCAATTTGCAAGACCACCCCAGGCCGACCCCACCCACCACGACCCACCCGCGCAGGGGCATCCGGCGCGGAGCGAGGGGCCGACCATCAACGAAGCGCCCAGAAGGCCCAGCCAGCGGGGAACAGCCTTTGCAGACGACGCAGCACGGCACCAACCGCGCACAGCTCAGCTCGCGCAGCGCAACACCGCAGCGGAGACCAACATGCCCCAGCACAGCGACCCTGCACCAGAGGCGCAGCGACGGCTGGCAGGCAGCCACCACCAGCCGACCCCTACGGAGAGCTTCACGAAGATCAGCGACCAGGGCATGGACGCGCCCCCAGCCGACAGCCACCCTGCACAACCCAAGACGTTCGCAACCAGCCCGCAGGGAGAATGATTTTACGACACGCAAGCCCACAGTTTCAGCGCAGCTGTAGAGACCACAGCTGACGACGGCTCGAAGCTGCGGCCACTTTCAAGACCGCCCTCCAGCGTTACCACATGAGAACACCAGCACGACATCACTACGGGAGAGCAGGAGACTCCCCCCTGATCGCCCGCAACTGCCGAGGCGAACGCCTTTTGATTGGACTGGCCGCACAGCGGCCCATTAGCGCGCCCGCTCCATCCTACCTCACCCTGCGCAATGTTGTCCAATGTTGTTCCACGACATACAGGAGGTTTTGCTCTGGCCGCCGCGTCCACGCACCGCACTTCGTCATTTTCCTCGCGCCCAGCGACCCGCGCTCACCGACGCGATCGGCAGCGGCGCGGCTGCACGCTCAGACTCCACGCCCACCCTCTCCGACGGCGGCAAGACGAGAACGCCCACGGGTCACGACATCACAGCACACGGCAAGCACACGC